GATGACCCCATGGTTCTTTCTTAACATTTTGTAGACAGCTATTATTGTTTGTTTTTTACTACACTGTCTTTGACTTTAGGTATGCCTCCACACATCAGAGATAAAGCAACGCAAACGAAATTTCACAAGGACCGTATTAATTTCTAGTTTTTTATTAGAGTACATACATAAATACACACACGGAGGTATCATTTGTACATGTATTGCATATTTTAACTATTTTTCATGGCCTTTCGAATGAAGTCAACTATAAAGTCTTTTACAATGGGAGGGGGCAGGAGTTAACAAACAGCAAGACCATGGAAAAATAATGGACTAACATCACCTTTCCATGTTAAAGCATTTTCTTTCTTATTTTAGTTTAAGATAGATCGATACACAGCACTAGGTCATGACACAGTCTCCTTTCTCAGTCCTCCAGGGTCTTGGGCATGCACACACACCGCTGGCCTGCTTTCAGATCGACCAGGCCAGGGTCTCGAATTGGTCTGCGTGTGGCTTCCAGTTCCACAGTCCAGTACGCTGCTGACTGTGCCCCAAAGGCTGGACTGCATTTTCTGTCATTTACTAAAGGGCGAAATGTTTTTAAAAGCGTATTGGCTTGTGTCCAGCAGGTGGCGTGGTGGTTAAGGGCGCTGGACTTCCACATGGCCAACCGCAGCTTGAGTCCCACACTTGGCGGCTTGCTTTCTGACTTTCCATCTTTCTCTCTCTCTCTCACTCTGTCCCTATCTGTTCAAAAAATAAATAAATAAATAAATAAAGATAAATAAAATAAATTTTTAGAAAAAAACAAAGCATACTGCCTTTAAGCTCCTATGCCATAAAACATAAGAAACTAAGATATCTTGTTCTGAGTACTTCTGCCATTTCTTGGAGTTGTTAGTATTAATCCATGCAGGGACCTACTGCGTATTAGGGGACTTCAGAAAGTTTTTGGAAAAACGGAAGTGTGACTTTATATTGGAAGTAAACTTTTTGGAAAAAAAAAAAAAAACTCAAGCATAGCTTTTTAAAAAAAATGCATTTTCATGAATTCTTTTAGAATTACTTTATTTAATTAATTAATTATTTATTTTTTGAGTTGACTGGAGAGAAACAGGGAAAGTGAGAAAGCAAGCTGCCAGGTCTGGTACTTGAACTGTGGTCAGCCATGTGGGAGTCTGGCACCTTAATCATATCACCTGTTGGCCCCTTTTTATGAGCTTTTTGAGGACCTCTTACACCACTCACTGTGATGGGATGAACCAACCAAAATGTATTATCTGTTGCCAGTTGAGCTGGACTGGATTTTTTCAATCATGTGGAACTTGTAGTTTTCACTTGATGAAAATTTCAGACCCATAAGATCTAGTTTAAGGAAAGAAGGATAGTTTACTTTAAGGATCCATAGAGTCATCTCATGGAAGTAAAGGACTGAAACAAACACAACCAAACTTTATGGGAAACGGAACTGGAAATTGTGCCATATTTTGGGCCCTGGTTTCCTTGTCACCAGTCACTTCCCATCTAATCTCTAAAGCAGTAAGAGTGATTATTACAAACTAACTATAATATAATTTTCTGTTTTCAAAATAATTAATTTATTTTATATAACTTTATTTTTTTGTTTGACCAGAGTGAGACACACACTCACAGAGAGAGAGAGAGGAAGTAGAAAAGCAAGCCCTAGGTGCAGGACTTGAACCATGGTCAACCATGTGGAAGTCTAGGGCCCCTAACCACCACTCCACTTGCTGGACCTTATAATATAATTTTTTTCTTTTTTTGGAGAGGTTTTTGCCATAGGGCGTGTGCGCTCCCCAGACAGACAGAGAGAGACAGAGAGACAGAAAGTGAGAAATCACCCCCCAGGGGGGATGGCCTCCATTCTCCTCTCAGCATCCTGGGCACGCACGCACAAGTGCCTGGCGTGAGTTTAAGCCACCCGGTCCGGGACTCGAACCACGGTCAACTATGGGGGAGTCCAGCGACATAGCCCTTACACCAACTGCTGGTACCTATAATATAATTTTCTAATAACCTTCTAGAGACTTCTTATCTTTCTACGGAAAAGCCAGTGTCTTTATTCAAGTTCATAAGCCCTCTATGGTCTTCTGTCTTGCTTTACATCTGACCTCATACCTTATCATGTGCTCTCTCGTTCGTACCAGGCTGGCCATATCTGGCCATATTTCCCACCTCGCTTTTCCTTCAGCTCAGGAGGAGAACACATATCCCGGGGTCTTTGCATCTGCTGGCTGCTCTGAACAGAACACTCTTCTCATGGATATCAGCTTGGCTAGCAGCTCGCTGCCTTTGAGTTTCTGTACAAAGGACACAGGATTAAGTGGGCACCCCTGACCATGTCCCATCACCTCACCAAAAGCAATTTCTCTATTCCTCTTAAACTTTCTATCTTGCTTTATTGTTATCTCTGCAGTCGTGCTGCCTAATAATGGATAATTTATTAGGTGGAACACATTTACTCCTCTCCCACTAAAAGAACTTTCACAAGAACAAGGACTTTGTGTAATTTGTGATTGTATGCCTGGCACCTCAAAAACTGCTCAGTACATAGTAGGGACTCCCTCTGAACCCACTGAAGGCATTAAATGAGTGGACATTATGTCTAATTCGTACTTCCTTTTGAGCCTGCACTATTTTTTCCTGCGAAGTAACTTTCTTTGTTTCAGCTAGCACACAGCTCACAATTGCCACTGAGTCTTTCAATTGCAGTATTCTCCACTACCTGGCAACTTCTCTCTTCTACATTAGTTAAAATTTATGTCCAGTAAGGCAACACAAACATTTTTTTTTCCATAGTGCATGTGTACTCCACAGAGAGAGAGAGAGGGGGGAAGAGAGGGAATGAGAAATAACAACCCAGCAGGGATGACCATGCTCCAATCCGTTCTAGCCTCCTCTCAAGATTATGGGCATGCATCCACAAGTGCCCGATGAGATTTCCAAGCTAATGGATCTGGGACTCTGACTATCTGGTCAACCATGTGAGATTCCCAATACCTTACCCACCATACCACCTGCTGGCCCTCCGAGTGCTCCTTTTGGTCAGGTATACAGTCCTGGTGTAACAGGGCTGAACCATCACAGAGCATGACTGATTGGGTGTGACGGTCTATGGTCAGGCAGCTAGGCAACATAAACATGTCTAGTTAATAAAATCATTGCAGTATTTAAGTCATGCAATTTAGGAATCAATTAATGTTTTCATTTTCCATGGTTCTAATGGTTGAAGGAAGGGAAACATGAAAATTACATTCCTTTTCATCAAATCAGAATAAATCCATACTTTCAGAGACTTTACCCATTCCCCAAATGATCATTTCAATGTTTGGTATATGTTCTCTCTATTTAGAAGAAAAATGTTGGACCAGCTCTTAGTGATTAAGAAAGCTGGATCCTATATGGCCTACTGAATGGTCTAAGTGCCAGCCCTGCAGCTTGAAAAACACAGGAAGCGTGTGTGTGCGTGTGTGTGTGTGTGTGTGCGCGCGCGTGTGCACATGCATGCCTGTGTCTGGGTATGTCCTGAACCTCAATAACATGCAGAAGTGGAGGAGAAAGGATTGCAGTTGAACATTCCCCTCTTATTGGGATGCTTCCTCCATCTCCCCTCTCAGTATCTGTCTGTCTCTCTGGAGAGCACACAGGCCCTCTGCCAAAAAAATAAATAAAAAGGAAAGAAAAAAAAAAAGGAAAGAAAAATTACTTTCTTTAAAACACCTCTAATGATATATATTTTAGAAGTTTTTAAATTTAATTCCATTTGTCATTATAATTATTTTTTATTTGACCAGAGAGGGACAGAGAGAGAGAAAGGGAAAGCAAAAAAGCAAGCTACCAAGTCTGGGACTCGAACTGTGGTCAGCCATGTGAGAGTCCAGCACCTTTAATCACCCTGCCACCTGCCAGCCCCAGAAGTTAATATGTTCATGTATCACATATGTAAATAAATGGTTGAGATAAACTGTTGATGAAACAGATTTCTTCCATGTTTGCCAGAAATTCTCAAGTACTAATGAGCAATGATTAAGAATTTCTATCTGCCAAAGGGACCCCATGGAGTTATAATCAAGCTGTAGTCCACATTCTCTAGGAGAAATACACAATCATTTTAGATGGGTCTCTGATTAAGAAGTTTCAAAGAGGAATTTTAATTTTAAAAGAAAAGTCAAATTTAAAATCTTGATTAATGGCAGAAGCTGGTATGGACGGGTAACAAAGCATGTTCACTCTGATCTTAGGAAGTACAGGAGCATGCCATAATCATATTTTTTTCAATGGCTATCACAGTAGATAAACCTTAAAATGTCCTGTTCAATTCATTAAGCTTGTTTCTCATTCAGGTATACAAATGATCCTCTTTGGGGAAAAGAAGCTTAGGGCTCTATTTAGAGGAAAATTAATTCAATGAGTTTTGGTTGAAATATTAAAGTCAGAGGAACACTTGATCACCTGAACTATAACTAAAACTTCCTTTCCTTTTTATCAGACTCACGTCAGTAAGGCTTGTAATTTTTTGAAGTATGTTTAACACATTCATCATAATGTTAATTCAGAGGAATAGATTTTTCTTTTGGAAGCTTTGAGTTAAATAACAAGATCCTGGAAACTTCTGTTAGCAGTTGGTGTTAATGATTTTTCCTTTGAAACGAGTCATGGAGAAGCAGAAAATTGATTTGCCATCTCCTGATGTTCGTGTATAAATGAGATCACACTTTTTACTTATTGCAAAGGATGAAATAAATCACACATCCATAGGCAATAGAATGAAGTGTTATTGTCTTTTGTCGGGGGGAGTATTTTTTTTTTTTTGCATGCACAGAAATGTGTAAATAAAACCAGTATGCTTATTTAACAAAGCATGTGTTGACATTCTTGTTCCACCCACAGTTGTTCTAAATTTGCTGCCGTTTCCTCAAGTCGCCTCCAGATGGCGCCCTGGGTGCCCGCTGTCTCTGCCCAGCGACCGGCCAGTTGTCAGCTGCTGGGGAGAATGAGCTTGGAGCGGCAGGGCTTAACCCGGAGCGCTCCGAGGTGGTTTTCTGAAGGACTCTGGAGGCAGCTGCAACAAGGCGTCACTCACTGTACAAGTATTTCCATTTCTAAGAGCAAAAGGAAGAACTTAAGCGGGCAGCACTTGGAGTGTAAATTGCTTTCTAATATTTAAAAGCAGCATGGATCGTGGGCAGCAGAGCTGGTACGTGCAATAGAAACTGCTCAATGCAATTGTGCTGGGTAGGACCCCGTCTGATCATCCTTTGTGTGCCAAACGTTCTGTGTCCTGGGTTGTGCCTATGTGTATACACCCATTTCATTTTCACCAGGATCATGGGGACTTTCATTTTTTCCAACATGATATAATAAAAGCTTTATAGAACATGGTTTATTAATAGAAATGTGACTCCAGCGAGAGTCTAAAGAAACATAATCATATTATGGAAATACTTTTCATTTATGTTTCTTCTTTAGAGAAAAAGAAGGAAGATACTCCTAAACTATATTACTAGGTAGTTTAACAGACGTGAGTTTTAAAAGACAATGACAAAAAATATATGATTAATGACCGTGGACTTGATAGTAAAGCAATTTTACCTGTAGGTGTAGATTTCACACACCTGTAAAATATCAATATTTTAGCATCTGTGTGCCACAAAGTACGTTATGTAGCTATGAAAATATTAATTATGAAAATACATTATCATGTGTATGTCCATTTCATGTAGTCTATATATGCCATGTGAATGTGTGTGGTATGTTTACGATAACATGTATATATGACCTCGATGCAAAATGATGTTTTTTAGTTAGAAATCTCCTTGTGCCAGATATGAATGAATTTGTGCACCTTCATATACAATATTTCTGTCTAGATAACTTAGTATGCAGATCATGTATGGTCGAGAAAATTAAATTGGAGTTTAAAGAAAGAGCTTGTTTCACTGTTATATTTTAAGTTTCCCAAGTTTCATTCAGTCGTGCCCTTAGTTTTCTATGTTTTCAAGTTATAAGGAAAGGTTGGTTTTCATATTTTGAATATGACATATTGTTTGAGGTGATTATATGGGGATAGGAAGCTTAGACAAAAAAACTACACTGTCAGTAATGTTAAATGTAGAGTTTGCAAGAGTTCTGAAAACTTGAGAGTACTGCCTGGAAGTATATATTAGAAATAAACCAAAAAATTGGAAGATTCAAAGGTTCAGCAATAAAATGAAAATAACAGGTTGAGGTCCTCCTGGTATTACTACCCCAAGACTGACGTTAGATTGCTTAGACGCATGCATGGACTCCCTGTTAACAGAAGTTGTACAGGAAGCAGCAGCTGAATTTTACGTGCTGCTCTCAGCACACAAGCAAAGGTAACACCATTCCACGTAAGAGAGAGGAATGGAAGCCTGACAGTGGAAGAGGGTGTACTGAAAAAAGCCTGAGGTTCCAAGAAAACTTAGAAATTTGAGTCCCTGCCCTCAGAGAGTTGCCAGTCAAATGAAAAGGGTGGGCATGTTTGTGAATGTAAATGCACTATCAAATTCGAAGAAAAGAAATGCCAATAGAGAGTGGTGCTCGTAAGGTGTGTAGTGATGAAACGAAGGGGGAGATTGTGCTGAGGGGCATTAAAACGGGCTTTCTCTTGGAAGGCCCCTTTCTCAAGGGATGAGTAGAAAAAAATAATTCTGGTAGGTGTAATGATGAGATCATGGGAAAGAGACATACTCTAGACAAATATGTCATTTGCATTGAGTCCTCCCTTCATGTGTCTCTGAGGTGAGCAGCGGAGGACAATGGGATACCAGTCAGTGGGACAGCGAGGGAGATGTCCTTGAACGTCAGGGTGAGAAATTTGAGTTTCCTTGTCAGGTCACTTCCAGTGTCACTAACCACACAGACAGTCAGTACTCTTAGAAACATTAGATTCTCTTTGCAAAGCAGTGAGAGCCTGCGTGGAGTTTTAGGATAACTTTATGATTTATTGATCATCTGTCTACCATAGCAGAATATAATTTTCAACAGTGTGCTTGTATTTCAATATTACATCTTGGAGCTTAAAAATTCTAGAAAAAAATGTTTATCTATAGAATGACTAAATGAATAAAGAAATATAAAACGGAATCAAGACCAGGATTCTATGTCTTTCATCATGATGCTCATAGATGACTAACACTTAAAAATTCACCAAGTGGGGGCCAGCAGGTGGTGTGGTGGTTAATGTGCTGCGCTGGACACTCCCATACGGCTGACCACAGTCCCAGTCCTGGACCTGGTGGCTTGCATTTTCACCTTCTCTTTCTCTTGTCAAATTAAAATGAATGAATGAATACATACATTTGAGTAACTCTTTAAAAAATGACCAAATGTTTAAGCTATTGTTCCATTAGCTTCCATTTATGGCTCAGGTGATGACAAGCAAATTCTCTGGAATCACGCTATTGGTATTTTATCTCACTCTGTGTCTTTAAGTTTCTTTATTGCTCTTAAAAGCAAGGGAGACAGAGAGAGACAGAGAGAGAGAGAGACAGGCACCCCAATGGGGTCTTCATGCTGCAATCTACCCCAGCGTTAGCCAGCCAGGATTGTGGGCATTCGTACCTGGCATGTACAGGAAGCCCTCGGGACACAAACCCCAGACCTCTCTACATCGCGGAGCCTTGCATTACTGTGGCGTCACCATGGCTGACCTCCTCTTTTTAACCTTTCGTGTTAATAGTCTTGCCTTCCTATTTTTAAAAGGGATTTTAAAAATAATTATAAACCACATGATTATACAGGCTGAATTGACCAATTCATATGCAAATTCATACAAGAGACAGAGTGGGTATTTATTTATTTAAAGAGTTATTTATTTAATTCCATTTGTAATTATTATTTTTTAACTGGACCAGAGAGAGACAGACAGAGAAAGGGAGAGCAAGAAAGCAAGACACCAGTTCCAGGATTTGAACCATGGTTGGCTGTGTGGGAATCCACACCTTTAGCCACCCATGCCACCTGCCAGCCTACATAGTAGGTATTTAAAACACCTTAAACCAATTCAAGGCAATAGTTGGACAGTTTGAAGAAGGCCTTTGCACCCTGTAACATGTGGTTACTCCTTGCAAGAATGCTTCAGATATCCAGTTGTAAATTAGTTTAGGTCAGAATCGAGAGCCTTTTTGTAATGCTGGAAATGCAAGCTTTCATCTGAGAGATCCTTGGCCATCTGCCTCCATAGTATTTGGGGAACCAGAGATAGACTGTTTGGGGTCATAGCCCCTACTACGTAGCAGTAGGCCTCTGTCCCTGTGTACTGAAAACTATACCTTTTATGGAAATAACAGGCATATGTGAAGAAGCTCATAAAGAAAAATATTATTTTCCATTTGATAGGAAATGCAAAGAAGCAGATAGTTTAAAGGAATTTATAGATATGATTTGTTCAGTTGAATTATAAATGCCTGCATAATGTCTTACAATGTGAAAGGTCAAATAAACAATGTCACTAAACCAATTTTAAAAAATAAACACCAGAGTTTCCCAGGTTGCCTAGGAGAGACCGTTCTTCTGTCATGACGATTCAAATATCTTAATTGTCCTTTCTGTGACTTATCTAAAAACATACAAGGGTGGAATTCCTAAGGTTAAAAATATATATGGATTGGTTTTATATGTGTCAGTGGAATGGAGAATGTGGGATTTCCGTTTCACCTTAAGCTTCTCTGCACAAAGTCAGGCCTTTTCCTCTCATCGGTGGCAAGATGACAACCATCACACCAACCCTGGTCTCCATTCTGCTGGACTCGCTGTTTGTACTGTCTTTTCAGCCTGTGAGAGGAGGTAGCAGACATGGCAGTTGGGCCAAGACTTTCACCTGGAGACTAAGGAACTGGGGAAGCCTGTCTTGTTCAAACAACGCCAGCTACTCTGTGTCAGAGAAATGTACTGCAGTGTGTACTGCAGGATTTTCCCCCTAGTGGTTGACTTCAAGTCATTGTGTTCTAAAGACAATAGGAATAGGCTTTTCTTCCTCTCATAGAACTGGCTTGGTCAAGATTCCCTAACTTACACTTTTAGAAACTTATTTAAGGAGAGTATATGATTTCCTTTAAATGGCTATTTTGAAAAATACACACACCACACCCTGGAAAATATTCTCCAAGCTTTTTTAAAAAAATTATCATTAGCCAGAAGGCTGGACATTCAAAATGACACGAATTCACAATATATACAAATACTGGGAGTTTTTCCAGGACTCGAGCCCATGTTATACTGTCCTTCCTTGGAGTAGAGAACAGCTCCCTTCTCCCTCTGGCATTCTGATGGTACAGTTTTCTGTAGTCAGTGTTGACGAATGAGTTTAACATGGCTTTTCCTTAGCCTTCCAACCATACTACAAATTCCTTACCGGGTGAAGATGAATTTCATGCTTCCTTTTGACTCTCCCCGTTATACTCAACACACTTACAGCCACAAACAACACTTCAGTTTATTCTTTTACTTTCTTTGACAGTCAAGTAAAGATTACATTCTTAATTTTTTTCCACACAAAAGAAGTGGATGTAGTCAGACAGCACTGGCTTCTATTTTTTTTAAATCACTTTATTTAACTTTATTTATTTATTTTAATTTGACCAGAGAAGACAGAGAGAGAGAAAGAGTGAGAAAGTAAGCCACCAGGTCCAGGACTCAAACTGTAGTCAGCCATGTGGGAGTCCAGTGCCCTTAACCACCACGCCACCTGCTGGCCCCTATACTGGCTTCTTTAGGGCAAAATAGAGGACTTTTTAACAGCTCTGTGTTCTGAGAATGTTATGTGTGACACACTACTGTTCCCTTTAACTAACATTTTGAAATGAAACATTTTTAAAAAAAGGTTTGAAATATGGAGATACTTACAAAGGTACAAATGTGACCTTCACTTGGTAAAGCGATTTACAGCCAGAACCTATGGTCATCTAGCTTACCTTTGTCTCTGGGATGTTGGGTGACTGCAGAGAGACTGTTCCCAAGTCAGAACTGCTGAAAGTGAGGGGAAGCCAGAAGATTCCCTAGCAGGAAGAACTAACCTTACGGAAGCTTAGAAATACTGACATACTGAGGCTGGCAGGTGGTGTGGTGGTTAAGGGCACTGGGTTCCCGTAAGGCCAACTGCAGTTTGAGTCCCAGACCTGGTGACTTGCTTTCTCATTTTCTTTCTCTCCCTTTCTCATTCTGTCCCTCTCT